GGGTCGCCGGTGGCGGTGTGGGCTGCAGTCCCCTGCTGCAGTGGGTTGCTATAGGCTACCATGTGTAGCCGGCAGCCAGCGTGAGTGGCCAGCAGCCACAGTGAGTGTCTGTCCAGAAGCCGGCGACTGATCTGCCTCACCCGGGAAGAGAGCAATGATGGTGCCAGCTTGGGCCAGTGAAGCAATGTCCTCCACAACTAGACTGAAGAACAAAACGACAACAACTTGTCTATTCCCCTTCCCCCAATTCCCCAGCGCTGTTCCCCTCCTCCCAATTCCCCAATAAAATTTTCAATAATAAAAAAAAAAGAATGTTTACCACTTAGACTAAAGTTGCATGACCAAAGTTAACCAGGAATAAGAAATGGAAGGCTGATTTTTTTCACTTATCTGGGGAAGGAAGGGTGTCACAAAAACAAACAAACAAACAAATTTCTTTTGGAATCTTTAATGAAAACAATTTCTTTTCATTTCAAATCGCTAGTGGAATTCCCACAACAGATAACAAAATCATTTTCTAGCCAATTTTTTATTGCTTCTCTTAAATACAAATGCTATGTAATAGAAAACATGGATAATTCCACAACACAACCTATTTCTAGGCTGCCAGAGGGAGGCATGCCATTAATGCCCATTTACAATGTCTTCTTCACAGATAAGCAGAGGGAATGCTATCATTAGATAAATCTCATAACAATAGCAATGAAGTTGGCATAGAATTCATCTAAACAAAAAACTAAGTGTATTTTGTGCTACTTTCATAACCTCTGAAAATTAACTTTTGAGGAAGTCTACCTAATCAAATCATCTAATGCCTTCGTATCTTGTTTGATAGTTGGCCATAAATTGTATCACATAATGATAACCAGACAAAAAGGCAGTGGTGATGTTCAGAAATAAGTACCTTGGTTTTAAGATGTTATCACCTACATATCAAACACAATGAAGGTTCTTAGTGGTCATTCAAAAGTCCTTAATTCACTGTTTCTGTGAGAAATACAGGGTATGTTAAATTCATGACACTTACTCAGCCACCTCCAAGTTCCTCCCCAGTTCTTCTTTAAGTATTTCCAATATGCAATCATAATTACCTAATATATGTAAAATACTCTGCGAAATGCTCAGCATATAGTAGTCACTAAGTGTTGTATGATATCATCATTATTATTTCATGTCTTACAAGTGATGCTTTGTATGTCTCATGCCTTGCAAAGATTCTAAAGTATGATTGGCTTGATTTCTAGTCAAGATGGCGGAGTAGGTAAAGGCTGTGCTCACCTTCTCTCAGGACCACATCAATTACAACTAAACCACCGAACCACCATTATTATCACCTGAAGTCTACCTGAACCAAAGACCTACAGATTTACAGAAGAAGCCACTCGAGACTGGTACGAGGTGCAGAGACATGGAACAGGCTTTTCCCACACCCATGTGTGACCATTAAAAATCAAGAGGGATATTCCTGCTCCAGAGATTTCCCCCCCACGAGGAGTGAGGGCTCCCAGTCCCTCCCCAGCCCAGGGTTTCAGTGCAGGAAAGAGAAGTCCCCATAACTTCTGGCTGTGAAAACCAGCAGACATTGTGGCTGAGACAGAGGGAGGTTGCAGTCCCAGGTATTCCTCTTAAAGGGCCCACACACAGACTTACTTGCTGATGGACTCATTCACTTTGAGTTCCAGCACTGGGGCGGCAGCTCGAAATGCTCCAGGGACATAAAGGGAGGAATGGAACTGTCTAGAATCAGGCTGAAGGCTGGAGGGACAGCTTTCTCCTGGACAGAGAAGCCGGTGGAAGCCATTGTTTCTCTGTTAAGCCCTCCCTCTCCCTGAATGCAGACACAGGCTGACGTCATATCTGAGTCTCCATCAAACTGCCTATCACCTTTCGCCTGCCCCACCCTAGTGATTCCCTGACCACGCACCACCCAAATTTAGGGCACACCCAAGCCACTTCCAGTGGGTTTTCCATACAAACAGCCTGCCTTGGCTCATGTTGTGGACTTTACTAAAATCTCTCAAAGGTTCACAAAACCCAAACAAGCAGCATCTGTCTTCAATGTGTCCTGTACCACTGGCTGAGCAGCCCTAAGCCCAGCACTAGTGACAGCAAGTCTTGTTTCATGGCTTGGCCTCTCAAGGCATCTTCAAGCACAGTGCAGGTTGTGGACATCTCTGTGTTGCTTTGTGGCTCATGCCAGGTGGCCCCAATCAGGGCATAGACTGTAGCTGAACTTGGCCTGCAGCAGGTCCCCTCCCAGGAGGCCCCATGGCTGGTAGGCCCAGTGGCCAGCTTTGGACTGGGGAAGAGCATCATCCAGCCACCTCCAAGGATGACACACCCAAAGGGCAGACTTGGCAGGCACCAGAGCCCCACTAAAGCAAACTCTGCTCTGTAGGATCAGCTCATGGACAACAGCTCCTCCACTGTAGTTATAGCCAGTCCTCACAACCAATCAGCCTGAGGGTCAATCCCTCCAACTGACATGTAAATAGCAATCAAGTCTCAACTGCAACAGGAGGGCACACACAATCCACACAATGGACACACCTGTGGCACCTGGCTCTGGTGACCAGGAAGACTGCACCACTGGGTCCCACAGGATGCCTACTACATAGAGCTACTCTACTAAGACCAGGAGGCATAGCAGCCCTACATAGAAACAAATACAGGGAGGCAGCCAAAATGGAAAGACAAAGAAACGTTTTCCAAATAAAAGAACAGAACAAAGCTCCAGAAAAAGAACTAAACAAAATGGAGACAAGCAATTTACCAGATGCAGAGTTCCAAACATTGGTTATAAGGGTGCTCAATGACCTCAAAGAAAACTTCAACAAAGAGATAGGAAACATAAAAAAATGGAGATTAAAAAACATAAATAAGAATCAGTCCCAAATAAAAACAATAACTAAAATGAAGATTAGAGGAAACCAACAGATTAGATGAAGAAGAGGATTGAATCAGCAATTTAGAAGGTAGCAAAAAACACCCAATCAGAACAGCAAAAAAAAAAAATCCAAAAAAATGAGGATAGTTTAAGGGGCCTCTGGGACAACATCAAACATACCAACATTCGCATCACAGGGGCACCAGAAGGAGACAAGAGAGAGCAAAGAATTGAAAACCTATTTGAAGGAATAATGACTGAAAACTTCCATAACCTGGCAAAGGAAATAGACATACAAGCCGAAAAAGCACAGAGAATCCCAATAAAGATGAACCCAAACAGTCCCACACATCATAATTAAAATGCCAAAGGTTAAAGACAAAGAGAGAATCTTAAAAGCAGCGGAGAAAAGCAGTTAGCTACCTACAAGGGAGCTCCCATAAGACTGTCAGCTGATTTCTCAACAGAAACTTTGTAGGCTAGAAGGGATTGGCAGGAAATATTCAAAGTGATGAAAAGCAAGAATCTATAACCAAGATTACTCTACCCTTCAAAGCTATCATTTAGAATTGAAGGACAGATAAAGAGCTTCCCAGACAAGAAGAAACTAAAGGAGTTCCTCACCGCCAAACCAGTATTACAAGGAATGTAGAGGGACTTAAGATGGAAAAAAAAAATCAAAACTGTAAATAAAATGTCAATAGCTACATATCTATTGACAATTACTTTAAGTGTAAATAGATTAAATGCTCCAATAAAAGACATAGGAGGGCTGAATGGATAAGAACACAAGACCCTTACACATGCTGCCTGCAAGAGACTAACTTCAGATCAAAAGACACACAGAGAGTGAAAGCAAAGGGATGGGAAAAAGATATTTCAAGCAAATGGAAACAAACAAACAAAAACTGTGAGACCAATAGTTATACCTGACAAAATAGACTTTAAAACAAAGGCTGTAACAAGAGGCAAAGAAGGACCCAGTAATCCCACTTCTGGATAATTATCTGAAAAAACCCACAACGCTACTTTGAGGGGATGTGTGCATCTGTATTGGCCATTGTTTACAATGGCCAAGACGTGGAGGCAGCCTGGGCATCCATTGATGGATGAATGGATAAAGAGTAGGTAGTACATATAAATGGAATATTGCTTGGCCAGGGAAGGGAATGGGTTTTTGCCTTCTGTGGCAGCATGGATGAACCTGGAGGGTATTGTGCTGAGTGGAGTATATCAGACAGAGAAAGACAGATGCAATGTGATTTTGCTTACATGTGGAATCTAAAGAAAATAGAAACAAACTCATAGATACAGAAAACATTTTGATGGTTGCCAAATGAGAAAAAGTTTGAGGGTTGCATAAAAAAGGGGGAGGCATTAAGAAGTACAAATTATTACAAATTAGTTATGGGGATGTAGGCTATAACATATAATATAGAGAGGGTGCCAAAAAAATGTATATACATTTTAAGAAAGGAAAACAGTATTAAAATTGTAATAATATATACTGATAACAAAAGATGAATACAAGTCAGGTTTGACTTCTGCAATTACAAGAAGTACTCAAAGTGGTTACCATCAGTGTCCAGACACTTCTGATTACGGCAAACTACTGCTTGAGCAATGTTGACCAAAGTGTCCACTTGTACACATTTTTTTGGCACCCCCAGTAGGCACCCCCGGTAGTAATGACTATGTATGGTATCAAATGACTACTAAATTTATTGGGGCGATAGATGGGAGGGGGTGGGGGCAGGGCGAAAAAGGTGAAGGCATTAAGAAATAGAAACTGATAATTACAAAACTGCCATGGGGATGTAAAGTAAAGCATAGGGAATATAGTCAATCATATGGTAATAAGTATGCATAGTTTCAGGGGGGTACTACACTAGTTATGGGGATCGCTTCTTAAATTATATAAATGCCTAACCACTATGTTGTACACCTGAAATTAATATAAAATATTGAATATCATAGTTGAAAAATTAACAAAGGGGGAAGGAAAGCTGAATGGGAATAAGAGGTTCAAATTTCCAGGTATAAAACAAGTCATGGGGATGTAATGTACAGCATGGGGAATATAGTCAATAATATTGAGGTAGCATATTATGGTGTCAGATGGTTGCTGGACTTGTGGTGATCACTTATTTAGGTTATAAACGTTGAATAACAATTTTGTACACTTGAAACTATAACATAATATTTGATGTTAGCTATATTTTAATAAAAATCTTAAAATAATAAAATAAATAAAGTATGATTGGCTTTAGCAAGTTCAAACCAGTGCTCCCGGCAGGGAGAAAGTCTAATATGCAAGGCATCTTCTATATTACATTCTTCTTGTTTGAGACAGAACAGGAAAATAAACTTAGAAGTGATCAAACTGATCAAAGATTTTAGAAAATTTTGTTTGTGTGTACCTCTAGATAAATGTTACCAAGTGATTATCTGAAACGGTACATGTTGAGAATTAAAAATAGTTTTTGATAATTCCATCACAAAGATGGAATTTTAGACTGTGGTAAACCACTTGAAATATTATGAAAGTATTTCACTATATTTTATTTTTGTAATAATGAATCTGATATGCTCGAATCTCCTTTGGTTTGTTATAGATCATCCATCCATCATTCATTCCATTCGCTTAAGGCATCATCTTCATGCACAGGCATTTCTGCTGGCGATTGGTCAAGAGAAGTTGAATCTTTGAATCTCATTGAACTCAGCTCAGAATGTATCTCAGTAGTTGAGGCTTTGGGCCCCCAGAAAGCCTTGACTGCTGCCCTGGAAGAAAAAACAAAAGAAAAAAACAAAAACAAAAAATTTCTTATGAAATGAAAACGAAACATAGATTTATGTTTACTTTTCTCTATATAAAAGTGCATCCATAGTCATAATTTATTTTTAGTTTGTGGCGCATCAGTTCATTGTGATAGTAGATGAGCCCTCAGACATGCCAGGGTGTGATACTCATGTAGGTATTGGAAATATTTTCATATAAATGCACTGGTAGGTTACAATTAATCAAATTTTAGAGTTGTGATAAGTACAACTGGATGACACAAATATTCATTCAATTAAACTTTCTTTTAGCAACTACTATGTAAAAATTTCAAAAATTGCATTTTAAAGCTCCCTCATGGCTGGGGAAGCGAGTCATGAGATTAGGTAGCCTGAACAAGGAAGTCTCAGGAGGAATTAAGGGAGTTGGATGGTTTGAAGACACATGTGAGAAGCATCAATGACAGGGCTTTTGATTCATGGGATGAGGGAGGGGCAGACAGAAGGACATCAATCAAGGATGAGAATCAGTTTTAGTCCTTCACCTACCAGTTTATAATTATGAAGATCAGTACAAAGATCACAAATATGCAGATAATAACACCTATGGTCAGCACAAAAACTAGGACTGCATCAGTGTCCGGTTGTCTTGATCTTCTCATCTGCAATTCTAGAGAAAAAATGTACACCTGATTATTATTACTACTGGAAACAAAAAAGGAAATGGGTATCTAAATGGAAACTTTATATCTGAGAAACAACTCTAGAAATAGGCAAAAAGAATCAGTGGAAAGAAAGTTATTAATTAACTTGCTCTGCCTGTTTAAAATGTCCTTTTCAAACATGCAGAAGTTAAAAGAACTTGATAATGAACATCTTATAGTCCCACCACCTAGATACTACCACCAATATTTTACTATCCATTTATTCATCCTTCTATCAATCCATTGATCCATCTTATATTTTTTATGCATTTCAACATAATTTGCTGATGTCTGCACACTTTTCACAAAATTTTTCAATGAGGCATATCATTAACTAGAGTTCAATATTTATTTATGTTTTTTCTTTTTAGGTAAAATTTCAGATCATAGAGCTGAAAGAGCCTAAATATACATTTGTTTAGTTTTGGCAAATACAAACACACATATATAATTTAAACCCCCTATGAAGACACAGAATATTACTATTCCCCAGAAAATTCCTTTGAGCCCCTCCCTGTTAATCCCTGCCCCATCCTCCAGAGGCAACTACTGTCCTCATTTTCTTTCCCACCATACGTTAGTTCTGCCTGTTTTAGAACTTAATAGAAATGGAAACATATCTATGTACTGTTTTGTATAAGGCTTATTTACTCAGTATAATGTTTTAGAGATTCACTCATGTTGGCACATGTATCATCAGTTTTTTTTTCTCTTTTATTAATGAGTAGTATACCTCAATTTGTTTACGTATTCATTCTCCTACTGATGGACAGACACTTAGGCTATTCCAGTTTGGGACTGTTATAAAGTAACTGCTATGAACATTTCTGTAAAGTCATTTTGTGAACACACATTTTCATTTCTTTTGGATAAATATCTAAGGGTAGAACTGCTGGGTCATAGGATAGAGGGATGCTTAGTTTTCCAAGAAACTGCAAGATCTTCTCCTAAATTGATTGTACTGACTGTACATGTTTTATAATTTTTTTCTCCCAGATTTTGGCTTGCTATTCATTTTTCTAATGGTTTCTTTTAATGAGGTGAAGTTTTTAATTTTGATGAAGCCTACTTTGTCAATGTTTCCTTTTATGGTGATTGTTTTTGGAGTCATATCTAAGAAACCCTTGCCTACTCCTGAATTATGCAGATATTCTCCTATGTTTCCTTCTTAAAGCTTTATGGATTCCACTCTTACATTCAGGACTATGTTACATCTTTAATTTTTGTATATATTGTAAGGGAGGGTGTTGAAGTTTATTCTTTTTTATACAAATATCCACATACCCCTTTTAAATCTAGCATTCTCTCCTATATCTTTCTGCTCTTCCTGAAAATAAGGCTATTAAAGAGACAAAGCCAGCCTACCATATAACATTATTACATTGTAAATTGGTGAAAAGATAATTTACATCAAATATTACTCACTTTGTGAATTATACAGCTTTCTTATGGCTCTTCCTGGTCCCTATATCATACAATCATAAAAGATTTATGTGGGGAAGGACAAGAGATGCAACTGTTGAATCATACTGACAAGTAAAATAATGTTCAAGGAGATTTAATAATTTCTGCAAGCTATATTTTATATATTTTAATATTTAATTTTGGTAAGTACCACTCTATCAGAAGTAGTCTCCTATAATGGGCAATCTCAACTGCTTATTTGTCTGAATTTTTCTTTTTACATTTTAAATACCACGGAGTATAATTTTCCATTTTCCTTAGTAATTCTAGAATTATACACTGAATTTAATGATCATCAAATAGTTCCACGTATGGTAGAGAAATTACATCATATTTATATTCCAACATTTAAAAATCTTTTTATTTTTGATAATTTTAGGTTTATAGAAGCAGTGGGATTTTTTAAGCTGAAATAAAAGACACGTTTTAGAATTAAAACCTGAGAAGAAATTCAAAATTCCTTTCTATTTATCCACTCCCCCAATACTAGCGAAGAAAGGGTGGAGAATGAGGTGTATGAAGGTTTTAGTTCATTTCAATAGCAGTCTTCTTTTGAAGGTCACTTAGATTACTTTTATATCGTGGACAAAAAAGAACTTCTATGGAAAGTAATCTCATGTGATGACCTGGTCATAAATTCCTAATTGGGCAGGTCATAGTGGGTATTCACGCCCCAGGGTATGTCACTTTTTAGTAAAAGTTATATCTTTTCCTTGACCCAAGCCCTGTCCTTTGTTTCTGTGCATCTAGGTTAACACACCTTTGAAATAAACCTTAAACACCCCAAGAGAGCACATATTCTTAACTATCCTGTACTATCCTGTAATCCCATCCCTTGTTGCTTCCTCACCCTCATGTAATCTTCCTTATGTTCCCTTCTTAATCTCAAATGCATAAAAACAAAACTTGCAAACTGTTATTCTCTGAAGCATTTATCTCAGTCTGTAGAGATCTTGCTTCTAGATATATCCTCTTTTTGGCTCAAATAAAACTTTTTATAAAAATTCTCTATAGGTTTGGACGTTTCTTACATCGACAATATCTAATAACAAACAAGGCTGCATTTCCTACTGAAATTTTCTAATGAAAACTAGGCTAAATTTTGATGCTCTCACTTTTTAGTAAAACTAAGCCTATGTTTGTATTAGTTTCCTAGGGCCACCATAACAAAATACCACAAACTGGTTGACTTAAAAACAACAGAAATGTACTGTCTCACAGTTCTAGAGGCCACAATTCTGGACACAATGTACTGGTAAGGCCATGCTCCCTCCAAAGACTCTAGGGGAGCATCCTTCCTTTCCTCTTCAGCTTCTGGTAGATGTCCTTTGGCTGTAATCTCTGACTCCATTTTCACAAAGCTGTCTTCTCCCACTCCCACCCCTCCCCCACCACGTGTGACTTTGTGTCTTCACATGGCATTCTCCTCTGTCTCTCTCTCTCAGGCTGTGTCCATATTTCCCTCTTCTTAGAAAGTCACCAGTGCTATTGGATTAAAAACCCACTCAAGTATGTATGACCGTATCTTAACCGAACTAGTTACACAGTAAAACCTTGGATTGCGAGTAACGTGGTTTGTGAGTGTTCCACAAGACGAGCAAACATTTCTAATACATTTTAACTTGGTAAACGAGTGATGTCTTGCAATATGAGTAGTTTGTTTCTGGAACGAATTATGCTCGCAAACCAAGGTATTACTGTATCTGCAATGACCCTGTTTCCAAATATGAGGTTCTAGAAGTTACAACTTGAAAATATCTTTTTAGGGGGAAATACAATTCAATCCAAAACAATGCCTAATTATGAAGGACAACTATTGTGGAAGTGAAAAATCTGATACGTAAGGAAAGGGATGGGAAATTTTCATTAACTAAACCGTATTTACCCTAAAAATATTTCAATTATGTATTTGCTTCAAACCAGTACCATATTGTATGCACATTTATAGCCAACACATTTGTTTGATGTCTAAACAACCAAAAAGGTCTGTCATGTGGTGTACCCAATTGCCATTTTAAATAGAAACTAAAAGATATCAAAGTGTTCTGAAAACATTTTATCATTTAACCAGTGCATGTATTGAGATTGCAGAGCTACCCCACCAGCCCTAGAGTGCTACTAGAATGAAACTTTGTCTCATTTAAGGGCTGACATTTTGGGGTCTGTGTTCCAGCCCTTAGCTTACATACTATCAAATGCATGCTGCCTTCTAATCATGGGAAGAGCTAACCACTGAATTGTCTTAAGAGGACCAGACTATGAGGACAAAAACTGAGAATGGCCCTGAAACTTTTGATGTCCTGAACTAGGACTCAATTAGATATTTTTCATTTTGATGATGCTTGGTCCTTTTTTGCTTTTGTAGCACCTTATTGAAATTATCCTTTTAATAAGACCTGTTATCCAAACAGGAGTAAGATTATTAGCTTTTACTATAAAGATGTTTTTCAAAGACACTAGACAACACATCAAAAAAAGTTATATTTTTAAAAACCACCCCAAAATAGTTTAGCTTGTTTTCATCTCAATAAAGGCTGTTATGTTGTTGTATGGCATCTCTAGACTACAGCATAAATTCTTCACTTGGGATTAAGAAATAGCTTCAAGAAATCCATGAACTCCCTTAAAATTACAGGTAACTTTTGGCATGTTTGTATATGTGGTCATTTTTCTGGGAAAAGCCTCGTGAGCTTGATTGGATTCCAAAAAGTCCTGTGACCAAATCCACAATAACAAAGATGCCAACAACAATTAAAATGGTTAAGAGCAACTGAACAAAAAGAAATAATTATTTGGATATAGAAGACATCATAGTTTAAATTGAAAGGACATGCACATGGATCCACTTCACAATGGAAGCAGTTTCTAACATGTAAAATTACATTCAGGACAAGATTTGCGTTTTGTGACATATATCATTGACTATTACTGTTTCCTCAAAAATATTTTCTTCAAGGTATCTCAAAAAACTGGAAATGGAACTACCATATGACCCAGCAATTCCACTCTTGGGTATCTATCCAGAGAAACCCAAGACCCTAATTCAAAAATATATATGCACCCCTATGTTTATCGCAGCGCTATTGACAATAGCCAAGACTTGGAAACAACCGAAATGCCCATCGGTAGATGACAAGATTAAAAAAACATGGTACATTTATACAATGGAGTATTACTCCACTATAAAGAAGAATGAAATCGTACCATTTGCAATGATATGGATGGACCTAGAGACTATTATGTTAAGTGAAATAAGTCAGTCGGAGAAAGGCAAATACCATATGATCTCACTTATATGTGGAATCTAAAAAACTGAACAAGCAAAGTAAACAGAAATAGTCTCAGAGATATAGAGGAAAAACTGATGGTTGCTAGTTGGGAGGGGAGTGGGGATGAGGGAGAAAGGGAAGGGATTAGACAGCATAAATAGGTAACTACAATATTGCCACAGGGATATGAAAGACAGTTCAGGGAATATAATAATGTAAATATTTTGTAGGGTGTCAGATGGTCACATGTCTTGTTAGGGAGACCACTTCATGGATGGAGTAGAGGCTTGATCACTGCGCTGTACATCTGCAGATGATGTTATATAATATTGTATGTCAACTATAATTGAATATATATATAGTAACAGGATGTGGAATATAGTGTGGGAGTAGAGTCAATGGAATTGTAATAGATATGTATGATATTGGGGGGAGGGGAGTGGGGTGGTGGATTGGGGGAGGGGAGTTGTCACTTTGAGGGGTAAAAAGTATAACTATTGCACTGTGTTGTACACCTGAAACTAATAAAAAAATTTTAAATAATAAAAAAATAAAAATAAAAATATATTTCTTCAAATGAATAATTTTTAAAGAGACACGCCTTGACATAATGTTTAATTTTATTTACTTCACTGTACAAAAATTTTTGTTAGCATATGTGAGAATTCCATGTATCCATTTCACTTTCATAATAGAAGTAAAAGTAAGAATATAATCCAAGTTAGAGGACTATTCCTTGGAGATACTTCAGAAATACACCAATTTCCGAAAGTAAGGCACATCTGACTTTACTTTGTGAAAAAGAAATGAAGCACTACTTTGTAGAAAAGTCTCAGTGGTATAAACCAGTGGTTCTCACATTGCGGTCTCTGCCAGAGCAGCACTGGGAACTTGTTAAAAATGCAAATTCTTGTGTCAGCCCCACCCCAAATCAACCAAATCAGAAACTTGGTGAGTGTGGCTATGGATCTGTTTCAATAAGCCCTCCAGGTGATTTTGATGCTCTTTAAAGTTTGAGATATAAGCAAACTGGTACTTACCATTTGTTGTATAGACTGTGAATTTAATAGATGCTACTATTTCATTATTATCAAAGGTATCACACTCGAAAGCCAAGGGGTGAGTTTCCCTATGTACTTCCATGATTGCTGAATCATTTGCAAGAACAATGGGTTGCTATTTTAAAAGAAAAAAAAAAAAGTATCAACATTCTTCATGAGAACATAAGATCAGGAAACAATTTTACTTCCTGTAAAAAAGAGCTATTGTCTCTCAGTCTAGGACAGTAATTAATTATGCACACAGAGGGGTGGTTGGTTAGCTCAGGTGGTTAGAGTGTGGTGCTGATAACACCATGGTTGCTGGTTTTGATCCCCACATGGGCCACTGTGAGCCGCACCCTCCTTAGAAAAAGCAGGTTATCCTCTGGCCAGAGCCTTGGTTAATGCCCGTGGTAAACCGAGTCAGTAGGACTAGATCCATGGCTTTATTCTAATAAAGTCTGACATTGTGGAAAGGCACAAATCTGTGTGAAACTGCTGCTTTGATAACCACATTCCGCTCATGACAGTCCGGCACTTAATAAGCCCTCAATTAACATTAGCTACTGCTATCATTACATAACTCCTATGTATACAAATGAAAACCTTGCTCGAAAATAGAATACTTTATATAAAATGGATGTTTTTAAGTTATGATAACCCTAAAACATATGTGAATATATAAATAATGAAAAAACTTAAATCCTAATAATAATAAAGTTGTATGATTTTAACTTCATTTTTGCAAACTGTTTTTAAAGTTTTCTGACAGTCATCAAGTACTGGGAAACAAATTTTCTCACTCACTTGGAAGCACCAAATTACATATACATTACTCACTTGGTCTGGTCTTAGAAGTTTCCAAACGTATTTGAAACGATTTACAGGAGATGTATGAACACATGCCAGTCTAACACTTTCAAGACTTTCTGATATTGGTTTACCCCCTGAAAAAAGGAAAAATTAAATACATGTATACCATGGGACAATGTAAATTGCTTTATAAACAATACTACTTTTTAAAGCCACCTCCAATTTTAAAATCAGTAATACACTGGAAGTTATCAAACTTATTGAGTGTTTGGGTGTAGAAGCACAGAGAGGAGTGATGGTTGCAAAGATGAAATCACCAAAAGCAGCAGGTAGGAGATATACCACAGCTATCTGCTCCTTCTGCAGAATAAATTGTGAAGAAGAGGAATAGTAAGGACAATCGACTTAGTGATCTAATAAACTTTGAGATCTACTAGTGGCTTCCAATTTACTGGTTAGAGACACCTATTAGAGATAATGAAATCTCAGAGTAGTGTACTTTGATATAGAACATCTCTTAAAGTTCCCAATTTAGGGTGTAACAATCTAGCGATACAATGTCATGACTAGCATGTTCAATGCATTTCACTATAGGACAGCTTTGACCATAGGCACTGCGTACAATAAGGTTACAGTGTATCCTAGAGAATATATGTTAAATTTTACACATTATTGAAAAATATAAAGCAACATAAAGTTATTCAGAGCTGTAATTGTCTAGAGAAGTGGAATTTTACGTTTTATTATGATTTCCTTTCAGTATATCAATTCTTCACAGCAACCTGAGGTTAAGGGTATCTCCCCAGAGTAAACTCTTCCCCCCTCAGTCTTCCCACCAATACAGAGTCCAACTCACAGCCACAGTCTACTGGTCCATGGCATTCTTCCACCCGTACAATACACTTAGATTCACCTCCAGGGCATCCATTCGTTAATATAACTTCTCTAATACCAACACCTTTGGTAAAAGAAATCAGCAAATGTTAAGAAAAACTAATTCCAGAGAATCTCTTTTTTTATCTACGTCTCTTTTGAGATTTTTCTCCTAATTTCAGAAATTAAATTCCTAAATTCAAGGTGATAACATTTAGAATGTTTTTAGGCCCCTCATTTTGAATTACTTCATAAAACAGCATTACCAAAGTAAGTTACATGAAACACTAATTCCTCTGGTACCATAAAAAAAATTCCATGATTATACACATTTGAAAATGATATTTCTTATATCAAGTAAAATTAAAGGGACCTTTTTACTACAGAATTTTGGGGAGACTTTAAATATGCTAATAAATTAACATGTTATTGTATGTAGACTATCATTGATCTAAGATGCAAAATTTTTGTATTTTAACATCTTTGAAATCAGGATGCACCTTACAATTGACAGCATGTCACAAATTGGCAGCATTTTTCCTTTTTGGAGGTGTATAAAATGTGCTTCTTACAGTCAATAAAGTCTTAGACTTAATGAAACACAGTAGTACACAGGATCTCCCAAATTTATTTGACCATGGAACTTTGAGGAGAGGGGAGGGGAGTTTGGAGTTTGCGGAAGAAATTCCAAAATCACATTTTAACATAAATGATGCTTTTTAGTATTTAGATTGGTAATAAATATAGCAGGACAAACTATTTATGATCAAATCTCCATTTCCAACAAGACGCTCTCTTTAGAATTGCCACACGTTTTTATAACAAGAAATCAAGCCTTTACTAACTGATCTCAAATCTCCACTGAGTTTGCCTTTCATCACCAGAATTGAGGGAGATGGTAAAATGCTCCATCAGTGACATGTTGAACATGTCCTGTGACAAGTGACTGTGGACAAAAACAGGGGCACATATTAAACATGACAAGCTCCAGGGAGGTCTGCATGGCAGGCCTTGTAAACTCAGAGACCGAAAGTAACCACATAGGATGGCTTGAACATAAAAATTCCTAATGAAAAGTGGGTCATGGAGGGTAGTCATGTCCTAGGTCTGTAGCTTCCTTGACAAAGGTCAGTCTTCACCATAAGTCTTTTTGCATCTAAGATAACATACCTTTGAAATGTCAGAGTAATCTTCTTTTCCAGACCCCTTAAGGCCGAACCTTGGGGCAGAAGATGAGCTCACAGAACCCCTCATTGTTACCTTATACTCTGCATACCATCTCTATGTGCTGTGAATGTTTATTATTAACAACCCTGTACTCACCAATATGTGTCTGTTTTACTTTTTATCCAATCCCAGAGATTTCCGTTTTGCTTTCTCCTGCCTCCTTAATTTACCACCAATGGATTTCATGTAACGCTCCTTACATCTCCTCCTTTTATTCTATTAATAATGTATAAAATAAGCTGCAAAACTGCCATTCTGTGGTGCATTTTCTCAATCCCTTGAGATTTTGCTTTCTGGCAATTGTCAGTTTGGCTTAAATAAACTCATAAAAATTCTCTACGTTTGGATGTTTCTTATGTTGACATAACCTATGATGACTGCATAGTCATAGGCTAAGGAACTGTCCATCTTGATTTCCTTGTCTCCCAGATTCCCTCTTTCAACTCCCACAAGGTGTTAATCGTAAATCCCATTCTCAAGGGCAAGGGAAAGTTGAAATTTAGAGATGACTTATAACAGCGCTTCTCAAAGTTCAGAGTGCATGAAAATCACCTGGGGATCTTACTAACATGAAATTCTGATTCAGCAGGTCTCGAGTAGGTCCTGAGATTCTGCGTTTCTAAAAACTCCCAGGCAATGTTGATGTGGCTGGTCTCTAGACCAAACTTTGAGTAGCAAGGAAGAGGGCTCCATATGAGATAAGGAGATAGAAGGTTGGAAGATAAACAGTCTCTTTTGATTAAAAGCGATGCCTAAGAATGACTCCAGTATGGCTCCACTTGAACTTATGAAAGGTACCTCTAGAAGCACAGCGTTATTCTGACATGCATAAATACTTTTCAAGCAGGTGTTTTATGTATTTATTTATTTAACCAAATACAGTTCATTGAGATGATGTGTGTAGGCGTGAGACTTTCTGTTCAGTCCAAGTAAAACTAAAAAATCTGCCTGTGTATTCCAGAAAAAGAAAACTTTTTGACTGTTAAAATACTGTTTTGTGAGTTCAATAGAATTTTCAATACAGCATTTTCTCCTCTAAAAAGTTCTGTTATAAACTGAAAAGATTTTTAAATATTTAAAAAGTATCTTAGATGTGAACTATTACATTTTCTGGTTTATTTTTCCTCTTAGAGCTTATTGTCATCTGACATATTACATATATTACATATTATTTATCACCTACCCCAACTAAAATATATACTGCTTGAAGGCAGAATTTTCTCTGCTTTGTTTACTGTTATAGTCCCAGTACTAAAACAATGTCTGGTGCATAGTAGAAAAAAGTTTTTTAAAAGCCCCCCAAACAGAGGATCATTTGTTGGATGAACAAATGTAATACATAATTTCTGAAACATATCTTTAAATAATAAACCGTATCGATTGTTTTAAAAATAATTATCTTATGAAAATTTCTCAAGCAGCCGAAGAAAGATATAAATTACAAATGAATAATCACAGGTTTATTACAGGTTTAATTTTCTTTCACTCATTAAGAAGTTAAAGTAAAAAACAGGTTTAAAAACTCTCTCAAGAGACGAAGAGTAGAATGGTGGTTGCCAGAGGCTGAGGAAGAGGGAAGTGGGGAATTAGTGTTTAATGAGTGGGGCAGCTTCAGTTTGGGATGATGAAAAAGTTCTAGAGATGGATGGTGGTAATGGTTGCACAATAATGTGAATGTGCTTAATGTCACTAACTTAGATATTTAAAAATAGTTAAAATAGTAAGTTTTATGTTTACCTAACACACACACACACACACACACACACACACACACACACACACACACACATACACACACACACACACACAGAGCTATCGCAAATAAAAACAATTCAGGTGTAATTTTTAACCAAAAAAAAAAAATCAGTCTGATCTAGATATTCATGGATTTCCTGTCTTCTTATCCTTTGGTTTCTGCCTTTCCCTCCTATCGCAGTCTTTTTTCTCAAGGCAGATTCTATTTAGAATAAACTTAATTTCATTGTGAATTATCTATTATCTTCTCAGCATGCTTGTCTATAGTGGTTCTCAAAGTGGTTCTCAAAAGATGGTCTTCTAACCAGCAGCATCAACTTCACTTGTGAACTTGTTCAGAAATATAAATTCTTAGGCCCCTCTGAAAGTCTAGTGAGTCAGAAACTCTGGGGTAGGCCCAACAATCTGTTTTAACAAGCCCTTCAGGCACTTAGGATGAATAGTTAAGTTTGAGAAACACTGGTCTATTATAGAACATGTGTTGCCTTAATCCCATCCCATGTAAAAGATTTTATGTCCAATTTCTATTCATGGAATGGTCAAAATATGTCATAGTCCTTAAATATTACCTTCCCCACAAAGCCAATCCTCTTTTTTCCAAGATATGACATATACATTGCAGAAATGTAGAATTTAGAATAGACTATTACAAATAAGCAAATTTCATAGATTTGCCAACAAAGTATGTGGGAAGACATCTGTGAAATGCATCGGAAGATCTTTCATCTTCTGAACATCTGTGAGATAAAGAAAGTTTTACTTTGGTGAAGGCAGTTTATGTGACTAAAAAATATAGGGAGCTGGCTTAAAATAAAACTTAGAGGATATGAACTGATATATCCAACCTTTTAAAGCAACTGGTTTCCATTTTGTGTGTAAATTATAGTCATTAGAAATAGAAACCAATGAGAGAGAAATGAGAGTATAAAAATTACAAATACAAATTGCCAGTTTTTACCTTTCCTCTCTCCCAAATTACGATATTGTTTATGTGCTCTATGCTACTTACCACATGTAACGGTACACATCCCAAATTCTACTTCTTTGACTGCTGTCGAATTTGAAACTAAACATAAAGGGTAAAGACACATTATTTAATCACATAAAAACTATTTTAAGTGAAAAACTCTTACTTGGGGATGGAGGATACAAGTACTTATCATATGAAAAGCAGATATTTTAAAATTTTTATTAAATCAGAAAAGCAATACTATTCTATTATTGTTTAAATAAAAAGCCTAAACCTTTAAAGTAATAAATTATGAAATAAGTTGCAAAGAATGTTTATATTTAAACCTTGTATATAACTTAAAAATAATTTTTTCATTAAATACATGGTGAGTTAAAGTTCTATAGAAGGTCAGAAAAACACAAAAAAGCCAGCTAATTGTAAGGTCTAATTTTTGTCTATTCTCTATTTAAAAAAAAAAAAAAGGGCGTGTCATTTCCATCCAAAATTGAAGTCTTTATACCAAGTGCTCATTAAAATCATGTTATAGATTGGTTCACTCATTCTCAGGTTAGGATAGTAAATTATTTCTAAGAATTTATTTCAACATTTTATTTAGCAAGATAATCTAGGAATATAAAAGTATTTGAGTAGTTAAATATCATTGATTTTAAATCACATAATGTGTTTCTTTTTCTAATCGTTCTGAAGTTTGGCATGAATTCCACTAGTTGTTGTATACAACTAATTCTCCATAGCTCAGATTAGGACTAAAATCTCAACAGAAAAAAATGTTAATGGAGTGTTAGAAGATAATTTTTAAAAGGCATTGTACATGGAAGCAACAGTATTGCATGGAAAAATGCATTGAAGTCCAAGTTACTGCTTCTACCACTAATTAGCTATTTTGAGTTTGAATAAATTACTAAACTCTGTCAGGCCTAGTTAACCCTTTTGTAAAATTTGAAAAAGGAGAACCTATCTTATTTGATTACTGTGAGAATTAAATGAGAAAATGTGTATGAAAACATTCTGTAACTTGTTTAGAGCTATAGATATGCTTCAGATATCATAACTTCATTCACATTCATTTCATACTTATTGATTTTATATAATCCTAAGATTTTTTCCTATTTTGATTACTGTAAGATATTTTCATAAACACTTCTATTCTATACTTATATGCACCAAATATAGTGTCTTGAATACATACATAGTAAGCACTAGTTGTATATATGTTAAGTAAATCAGCATTGACTGTTAAATAAATTATTTGGAATATCATAATCAATTTTGAATTGACATTTTTGCTTGAAATCTTAGATACTTTCTGCTAGCACATTATGAGATACAAATTAAAAGCCAAATCTTGAACATAGAAAACACAGGTAGGAGAATGAGTACTAGACTTTTAAATACAACCTCTTTTAAAAAAACATTCAAAAAATTACTTAATCAGCTCTAATATTCACTACCTATGCTACTTTGGGAAGGTTAATTAAGTTCTCCTAACTTTAAAAAAAAAAGAGAGAGAGATTTAATCAGATTATCTTCAAAGTCCCTTTTGGCTTTCAGTATTGAGTGCCCATTAGGTCATTCAATGACATTCTTTTTTGATGGGGACCTTATAATGGTGGGAAAAGGGAAATTATATATATCTGGACTCTAGTGTGGTACTTGTCAAAATTTCCCATGAGTGAATATACCTATGAGTAAAAAGAAAAAACATGGTTTGAATGTCAATAAAGTTTTATGTGCAATTTGTTAAACAGTAAGATCCACTGATGCTAATTAATTGGTTGGTGTCAATGCAGTAGGAGTGATGTCATAGGACTCTGTCTTGTGCAACATTTTTATTAATGACTTGAAAAATACTGATTTCATGCTAACTGAATCTGGGGTTTCTGCAAAACCAGGAAGGGATAGTAAGTATGTTTGAAGATAAATCTGGATCTAAAAAAGAACAGGGCGGAATAATGGGCAAATCTAACAAAATGAAACCTCAGAGAAATAAAAAGTTCTGTACATAGAGCTGAAAAATCAGCTATCCCCCAGGTATTTTATAGGCTGTCTTAATTTGATAGTAGAAAAGGTGAAAATGAGTGGAGAGTTCAATAGGAGTCAAGAGTGCAATGAAGCTTCCCAAAATATCTACTTGGTCTTGGACTGTGCTGGTAGAAGCTTTACATCTACAATGATGCTGATAATGATCCTGCTCTTTTTTGTTCTGGCCAGATGCAGGAACGTTCTCTTCAATTCTGGACAGCACACTTTAACTGTTGGTATACCATCAGAGTCTAATTTTAATTTTTGAGTTTCTTTCTTGAAAGTTGACTTGTAAAGTTATTTCATGATTTTTATTCTTTCATAGAGGTCTTTCAAAGATAAAGAAAAAAATATATAGGATAAAACTCATTTTATAGAATAAAATTCTATCTTGCAATTATTATGTAGGTCTGATGGTCCCTCTTATAAATCTAAGGGTAACTAGGGTAAGAATAAATTAATAAATCTTAGATTTATAAAAGGTATATGGGTATATTCTAAAAGGTATAAAAGAAATAGGGGTATAAGGTTTATGAGTATATAGCTAACATAAAATCTTGGTAATTTTTCCTATTATTTTGAAACACTTTTTTATTTCATCATCCATAATAATGGATTTTAGCACTACTTATCAATTATTCCCAACTGCATTTTTTAAAAAGACTATAATAATAAAAAAGGAAGAATGGTTGGAGTTGTCTAGAAAGATGATGTAATTGTGAAATAAATCATAGCTATTGCATCACCTTCTGTTTTCTTATTACTTTGCTCAGAGGATCACATCATCTTTCAGGGAAATATAATAGAAGTCTAGAGGCACCTTTCTCATAATCTATTTTCAGCTTTCATTGAACACAGTTGAGATTTTAGAATTTTTCTTTTATTTCTTTTTGTCCATAATGGCGAAGAAAACTGATACAGAAAAATATTTCACAATTATTGGACGAATCAGAAGATGAACATAGACATATAGCAGCACGTTAGATGCCAATGATGGTTGTGAAATTGACTGCATAAACAAAATGAGAGATGGTATCTTAGATGAATATCCTGTATCAATTTTCTCTAATTCAAGAATCAATGAATGAACATTATATTTCTAAGGATGAAAAGGATATATGGTATTCTCATCCAGTTAGTCTTTCGACAGAAAGGGCTTGATCCTGAAATATTTTGTGAAAATAAGCCAGACCATGCTGTTTTGCTAAAAGGATATGGACAGTATTCTTGCCTTTCTTAAGCTGTTTATACACCAAAATTTACTTGATAAGGTTTGTAAACAGACAAATCATGATGGCAGGTGTGTATACAAAGGTGACTGAAAGAAAATAGAAGATGTAGAAATGAATAAATTTATTGGACCAATAATTCGAATTGTTTATAAATCTACGATGAAAATGTTTTGCAATTATGGAGAAAGAATACGGCAGTCTTATCAACAAAATATGTGCCTTCATAGTTTTCAAAAGTATTGTGCTTTGACAATGCAAGTGCAAAAAGAACAAGATTAATAACTAGAATCTATTAGAAATGTACTTGAAATCTGGAATCAGTACTTACAAGATGGATACTCCAGATTCGGGCATAACAATTAATGAGCTTTTAGTTGCATTCAAAGTACTTTGCTCATATATCTTCAAAACCAGGAAAAATGGAATAAAATTTTGGGTTTTCCATGTTTAAATTCTTATTAAAATTTCAAGTAAGTTGTTTTCACAATTCCTTTATTCTTACTTTTGTAAATTATTTGTAAAATGACTTAAAATTAAAAACAAAAAAGTCCATTAGATAGTGAATGGTGATGACTGTTTTTATACTGGTCCACTGAGGGTTAAGAGCCATTTTAGTAATGGCTCTGGAAATTTTCAGATGTCAGACACCTCAGATTAAAGTTCTGGATTAAACTCTCCCCAGGATAAAGCAGCTTTGCATGAAATTGTATATATAAAATTCAAGAAGGTGCATGGACTCCCTGAAGTTAACAGATAAGGAAAGGAAGACTCTGAGAGAGAATAAATAACTTCCCTACATTTGAATTTGAATCTAAGGCATTGTAACTCCATGGCTTGGCTTTAGCCTAAACTCTATTTAGCATTTTATAGCTAGGACCATTCCCTTGACGGGTTTAATACTAAAATTGTTAACTCAATTACTTTTAAAACTAGAGTGAAGCAATAGCTACTGTGCTTTATTTAGAACATGTCCTTTTCTTCTCTGGTCCTCTTTCTTTTTCACATTTCCAAAGTCAAGGACCTCTGCAAGTTCTCTGTAATCAAGTCAGTACAAAACTCGATCCCACCATTAACCTCAGATAACCAATTTCTTCCTGTCACCAAGGGTCACTATCTGTCATCAGGAAATAAAAGAAAGGCTGATAGATATAGCACCTACTCTATATGTATAGGAGACACGAGACTGCCAAGGATATTAAAAGAATCTCAGCTGGGTCATTTTATGGGGGAAGGGAATCATTTCCCTTTAGATGGCTGCAAACCTGCAACTGACCTTTTACCTACTAGCATGTGAGTTACTCATCAATATAACATGTACAACAGCTTGTCAAGTTTTATTGCTTAATGAGCCAGTAGAGTAAGGCAAATTTATGTACCAAGCACAGGCTCATTCTCCCTTGGTTAACACGAATCATCTAACAAAGCCACTAGTTGGATCCCTTGATAGATGTTATTCTAAGGCCACCGTTCCTCTGTGGGTCAAAGTTGAACGTACAAATAAAACACCATGCTGCAGAGGTGCTCAAGGTTAGGGCTGCAAGAAGCTGATATAGGGCCCTTTCTGGGCAGTATTGTCAGCATATTGGTCTATCTAGAAGTGTCACAGTGAGGGGAATTCTGAATTCCATTGTGTTCCAAATCAAAGTACAGATGTGGAAAGGAGTTAGACCTCAAGCAATTTGGAACTTAAAAAAAAACACAATCCACAATGGGAAGAAAAAACTAAACTGCAAAGGGAGTCAAAATAATGCCCCTCGGTGGAAGGATACGCCTACCATTGGGGGGGGGGCGGGGGAAGGCATCTTTTTCCTTTTCCAAAGTAATATTTAGCAGTATTCTGTAGCAACTTTTATATATGGGCTTGTTTAGCTTGCTGTGGCCTTGTAGAATCAACACACCTTTCTTCAAGGCCATCACGTGTGCGAAAAACGTATAAATTCGGGGCTGTTTGAGAGAGGGCTCTACAGATGTTAACGGGGATAATTCGCATTGTCATCGGGCTTTGCCCTCAACATGTGCCTTCGTCCCCACCAAGGAGCCTCCTACCCTCACTATCGTCCTCGGCCTCCGCCCGGGGCGCGTTCTCAGCATCGCCCATGTAGTTCCCGGCGTCTTCCTCGCCCTCGTTCTCATTCTCGTTCTCGCCTTCTCCTTCGCCTTCTGCGCCGCCCAAGCCGGGATCCTGGAAGGCAGTGACGTTCGTCCCCCACGCGGACTCGAGGCCCGCCAGGAGCAGCCAGCCGACGGTCAGCAGCAGCCCGGCGGAGCAGCCTGCGCCCCCGGGGCTCATGCTTCTCGGCCCCGACGGCCGCCCGCTCTCAACGAAAAGTGTGGCAGGAAGGAGCCGCCGGTCTCCGAAACCCCGCGGCGCACCCAGGCAACCACTGAGGCGTCACAGCTCGTCACAGGGGCGCGGCCCGGCCCCGGGCTCTCGGCGCCTGCGGAACGCGCAGGCCCGCGTGCGTTGCGCCTCGCGGACCCCTTCCGACGGCGCCCAGGCCGCGGCGTTCGCCTTCCGGCGTTCCGGCGGCGCCGCCCGCTGCGCGCGCGTCCTCAGTGAGCCGCCCACTGACCGCCGCCTGGGCCTTTCTGGCTCGTCCTGCTTCCTTCTAAACGACTTCCGTGCCTCCTGCGTTTACTCCCCGCTGTGCCTCCGTCTACGTGTGACTTGGTTTCAAATTTCTTAAGCAGAATATCCAACTCGGTAGGTATCAAGATGGATTCATCACAGCCTTATTGAGTTATGTTGCCCCAAACTACATACATTTCTGCAGGTGAGGCCTGATTTATAGATGGTATAGGGGTGCACTTTCTTTCTTTGATCATATTTTTTAAGCCTTTTTGGGATTCTTTTGAACCCTGATTCTGTTGTCTTAACATATTAGATATGCCTCCCAAGTTTGATTTGGAAAATATGTCTCCTTCAGGTTACTAATAAAAATGCTGAAAAAGGGCAATGAGCAAGTGTAGGGCTCTAAGAGATTACTCTGACAATGAGCCACTAATTCACACGTTTGATTTAACCCAAGAATCACTTATTTTACCACAAAGGAGCCGTATTTTTTACTAGGGTTGAATCAGACTAGAAAAGCAAGAATACCTTGGCATTCCCACTTGAATCAGGAGAGGATCGTAGAAGGAAGTGTAATTCCCCACAGCCTTCTTGATAGTATTCAGTATCGATATGTCCAATTATGCCATAGAAAGAAATGAAGTTTGGTAAGTTCCGTTGATTGATGTTCATTTCAAGAAGTCTGCTCTAATTAATTCATTCAGATTTCTTTAGTAGAATCACAGACCCTTTGAGTCAGAAAGAAGCTTAGAAATCATCTAATACTCCAAGCCCCTCATTTTTAAATGAGGAGATAAAGAACTGGAGAGATTAAATGACTCACCCAGAATTATCCAGCAAATGATTTGCAAAGCAGGATCTCACCAGCCAGATCTCCTGAATGCTCATCCAATGCTTAGTGATTCATGTAATTTAAAGTTAACACTAAAGAACCACTCAGTGGGGTGTTTGCGAGTCAAGAATTCAAGCACTGAAAACAAATTAGGGTTGAAATTTTTTATTTTGTTATTCCAAGTTTTATTTGCTCTAAGAGCTACAATGTGGTAGTAAGAGAATATTGATGAGTAGGAGGTTCAATGGATTTATATCTGGGATTGAGACAAAGCTTATTTGGCTATGTTTCTACATATTATCCTATACTTTGAGGTTTAATGTCTAAATTCCTATGATCCACGGGATAAAGAGTAACCTACTACAAAGTGACCTTGAGGAATAAACTCTGGCTTTTGGAACATATGTATATTTGGCCTCAGTAGACTAACAGGTAAGCAAGTGACAGAAAAAATATTAGGAGAGTCTTCAATCCACTAACTAATAACAAAAGTAGATTATTTCAAACAAAAGTTGAAATTTTTATTTGAATTTTAATCTCACAGAGGCTTCTAGTTGTGAAAACAGGAAAAGACAAGAACTGCTAACAAAGTTCAAATTGGTACTGTGAGGAGTTTCTGGGAATATTTTATATCAACTAAAATACTCCATAAAATATAGCACCTGACAAGATTATGAGGGAAATTAAAATGGGAAATTTAGAGATGATCTTGAGACACAAAGACTTTTGTTTTCTGTCCAAATGAATTTTAAAATGCTAAAAAAAATAAGTAAGGAGTTATGCTTTCAAATAAGAACTTAAAAAAGATCTATAGTAGTGTCACAGGCAACATTGTTGAATATTTCAAGTCAATTTAAGACCTATCTGTTCCTGAAGATAGTATCCTTTTCGGTCAGAGGACGTCCCATAAACTCTAAAGTATGTAATTTAATTTAAGGCGACAGTGACAAAATAAACAGCTCAAAAGAGAATCCAAATGGAAATTAAGGGTCTCAAAGAGGAACTGAAAGACTTGACTCTGAAATAAAGAATATTAAAATAATATCTGTAATAGCAGCAATACAAATCACCTGTAAAATATTGTTACATAAATTATAAGAAACAGTATAATATCTGTCCTCAACAAACTTATGCTATCTAGTTAAAGTCACACATAAGTAAAAGGTAAATATTTAAGCAGAGGGTAAAGACACAGCATACAGAAGGGTTGACCCTACTCTGTCCTAAGAATACCAAGGACCAGGAATTCCAATCTCAATCCTTGATTTGTTCCTCTGACCCACTTCACCTCAGTTCGCTCAGCTCAGCCGACCCTGCCTGGCAGTAAATATCTTCACCCTTAGCCCCAGTTTCTAAGGAGCAGGAATTGAGTCTTCTGTGATTTCTCTGCCCCACTCCCCCAAACCTATCTCACCTATCCTGATCTGCCTTTACCTTTCCTGAGCTCAGCTGGCATGCCTGGAGGCAAGTAAAATCATTCCTTTATCTGGTTTCCACTTTGTCTACCCTAGAGGAGGACCTCATGCTCTGAAAAGGAAGACCAATTTGAAGTTTTTGTAATATAAATACAAGATAATAAAGGCCTGAATAAAAGATCACCATAATAAAGGGGGAAAAATGAAATGAAAGAAAGAAATGAATGAGAGAAATTACAAAGGAAGGATTAAATAAAACTGAGAAGACTGGCTGCCTAAGAGGGATGATGAGGGAGAGGAGCAAATAAAGGGATTTAGAAAAGTAAGTAGATGTTTTATTATTTAGACATGTTCATTTAGAGATCAAAAGGTTAAGGTTAAGTTGGACTTATGAGGTCAAGTGGAAATGTCCAGGGGGCAATTAGAGATGACCACAAGAAAAAAAAAAGAAAGAAAGAAAAAGAAAGAGCGAGCCAGAAGATGAAAACCACTGCCAAAGTTACTAACATTAATTTACAGTAGTATTTATGAAAATTGGTATCTTGGAGCTAAATTGCTTTTGGCTTTTATATGCTTGAATTAGTAAAAGCATTGCCCATAATAATACCCCAGAGAGAAGGCCTTCAAACCATTTTTATCCTATTTCCAATATTTAGGGGAAAAGAATGTTCTCTTCCTGGAGCAAGTTTTTAAGAGTAGGACTTCTCCCCTATCTTTTTGTTTGGCACCCTTACTCCTGCTATGATCATATATTGTGCTTCTTTCTTTTACTTTTGAGTCCATGTTACTATGGACTCAAATACTCTGATTTCCTTTGGTTACTAAGGAACAAGGTCTCTCCCACAATCCCATTTTGATACTGTTGTACTCATAAGCATTGCAAACCCAACTTAACTGCTTTCCTGTTTTGTTCATCTAATTCCTCCAAAACAGATGTGCATTCTGAGCACAGACTCCCAGGTGACAAGCCTAAACTGTCCTAATTTCTGAACTCAAAAGTACTCCCCAAATCTCAAGTTTCTTTATACTATCTAGAATATATAATAACACCTGCTAAATTTTTTTTTTAAGATTTTTTTTATTGGGGAATTAGGGGAATAGGAACAGTGCTGGGGAATTGAGGGAAGGGGAACAGACAAGTTGCTGTCGTTTTGTTCTTCAGTCTAGTTGTGGAGGACGTTGCTTCACTGGCCCAAGTTGGCACCATCATTGTGCTCTTCCCGGGCAAGGCAGATCAGTCGCCAGCTTCTGGACGGCCGCTCACTGCGGCTGCTGGCCGCTCACGCTGGCTGCTGGCTACACACGGTAGCCCATGGCAATCCACTGCCACAGGGACTGCAGCCTACGCCATCGCCGGTGACTCACAGCAGCCCAGCTCCAGGTTGAGCTGTTGTTCAGCATCTTAGCTGTAGAGGGCAGTGTCACTGGCCCTCATATGTGGGATCCGAACCCGGGCCCTCTGGCATCCCAAGCGAGTTCTTAACCATCGTGCCACTCGGCCGGCCCCTGCTAAATTTTTTTTTTAATGACAATACCAAATGTTAGTGAGGATGTGGAGAACGTCAGTCATTCATATATTGCTGGTTGGAATGTAAAATGGTACCGTTTTCCAGAGTGACTGTACCCCTGTTGTGTCCTCATTCTCTGTCTGTCACTTAAAGCTATATTGTTAAACAATGGAGTAATTTTGTGGTAGAAACTATAGGAAGCCCCCTGGATTTTTGTACATAGGAATAATGCTTTCAAATAGTCACATCCTATCCTCTTGGTCTATCAAATGTTCGACCACTTCTTTATTCCAGTCTCAGCCACTCCCACCCCTTTATTTTCTCATTTGATGAAGCTGCCCACAAAGGCCCTCTTTTCTAAATGCCTTCTAAGGCAATAAGTGTTTACAAGGTGTTAAGGGAAGAACAGTACCCAAAAGATGTTCTTTCTCTATTTTAGTAACAACAGTTGGAAAACCTTTGAAAATTAGATAATATTCTAGAGAAAGGTGATCAGTATTTTGTGAAAGGAATAAGTGTCACATTGTGAATAAGTCTTGATAGAAGGCATGTGGTACTCTCAAATTCCTCTATTTGTAGGGCTATCTAAGCCGCATTTCTAAGATTGAATAGGGTGCCCCCTCTGTGGTTACTCAGGTTATAGGTGCACAGCCCCACTCAGCTCCATGTGCCCCAGAAAAATACATAAAACAGAATCCTGGTCTTTGGATTTCCCCTATACTTTTTGTGAACACTTGGAAAGAATTTGTATTTAGGTGGCATATTCTATAAGTGTCAGTTATATCCTATTGGTTCTTGGTGTTGTTGAGTTCTATATCCTTGCTGATTTTTCTAGTTCTATTGCTGAGAGAGTGCTGTTTTGAGTCTTCAAGTATAATTTTGGATCGTATGTTTCTCCTTTCAGTTCTATCAGTTTTTGCTTCACACATTTTGCAACTCTTGTTTGGTACATATTCCTTTAAAATAGCAATGACTTCTTGGTGGATTGACTTGTTTATCATTTTATGTAATGTCAAATCCATTTCCCCACTCAGAGTCCACCAGGCTCTGCCTGACTTTACCCTCCCCATGCCACAGACTGGAAACTCTTGAAAGGCAATACTGGAGCAACTGTAGGCCCACTTCATTTGTTTCCCATTATTCAGGGATGACTGT